AAATAACAAGAAAAATTACAGACTTTCAGGAGCCCATCTGGTCTTTTTATCATCATTTGCGGCTAATGTTGTTTCATTATGTGTTATTACACAATATGGCATTTCATTAGGGAAAATATTTTTTTCAACTAATTTATTCAGATCATTTTCATCGTATTCAATAAGAAGGGGTTCTAGATTTACCATCATAGGCAAAAAAATCTCTTGTCAGTATCGTACCATATTCTCTCGCTCATGACCATATATACCCTTTTTCCACTCCTTATAGTGCCATCCCAACTTGTTGAGCCATGTTGACGCGGTTCTTTCACTGATAGTTGTCTTTTTTTCAACACCTAAAGACGGAAATACTTCATTCTCCACAAATTCTTTCAGAACTTTAGGGTTCACACTAAATTTATAACTTCTTAAGTATGATATGATCTATTTAAAATGTGTCTTCATGAGTTACATAACAATTATATTTTAATATTATATAGTATAAGAGAAATTTTACCTTTAAAGATATCCTTTCATCATCAATAAGACTCACTACCTTTATGAACTTTCCGTGATTATCCTTTGGTAATCTTCTCCACTTTAACTATTCATTATCCCATGTACGAATACATCACACTTTATAATCACCCCAGCCTAATGAGCTAGCAATTGTCGCACTTGCGTGAATTTTAGTCCAACCTTGGTGTCTTAACCACAAGTATTGCAGTGATGCTTGTAAGCGAACCTTAGTTCCTTTATCCATATGTCCATCATCCTTTTTTAATAAATTGTCCAGTTCCTCGATTGCTAATTTCATTCTTGCTTTTTTATTAGCTATATTTTTTTCTATACTTTCTCTCGCATTTTTCTCCATATTTTCCTCTGTATTTCCCTCTATAATTCCCTTTCTATTTTCCTCTGTATTTCCCTCCATATTTCTCTCCACAATTTCTTTCATAATTCTCTCCCTATTTTCCTCCATATTTTTCTCTATATTTCTCTCCATAATTCCCTCCATAATTCCTTCGATATTTTTCTCTCTATTTTCATCTGCTGATTGTACTAATGCAACTGCATCTGAAAGTGCACAGGTCAAAGTGGTGTTAGGTGCTAAGGGTGGGCTGAAGCAGAAGATAAGTAAAAGGTAATAGGTTGAATGTTTTGAGCGGCTTTTTTTAACACAGCTTTTTTTTTCACTTTAAAGTTCTTCCAGAATCACCAAAATTAACAATGGGCCTTCCCGAAGTTTTCCAAACATTATTGTTCCTACCAGCTAAAAGTAGAATATCAAAGTAATCAGCAGCTCTTTCATCGATCTCTTCATCTACCCATATATGATCATTCAGTTCTTCATTTATTTGTTCATAATCGTCTTGTTCATCATATTCACGTACTGTTCTATTTTTTTTTTGAACAAGCACGTTTACCTTTCGATTTTCTAGCAGCCTCAAGTTGGCGTCTTTTTTTATTCAAAGGTGGCATTATTATAGTAAGA